CTGTCTGATTGGTTAATACAGTTAATTTATATTTGGTTAATATTTATTTTGTCTTTAATATTGGTGGTGGTGGCATCTTATGGCACTTATATTTGCAAATTAAAAGAAATTTAGCAGTTTAATGTTGTGTTGATTTAATATTTTCTATTGTTTTTAAAATGTTTTATTTCTTTTTTTTGTGGGGCACAAGTAGCTGGTCTTGACTAGGGCGCAAAATAGTCTAGCACTGGCCCTGCCCACTGGACCTCTTTTTTACTTGAAACTTTGTGGCCTTTGCACTGTCCAATCATAAACAGGGATGAGCAAATTGATTCAAAATTGCCAGTTAATCCAACTGGTTGTGATGCAAGGTTTCCAGATAATGGTTGAAAAAGCCAAAAATTCTTACTTCCCAGGACATAGCACAGTATAGCGTTCTTTAAAATTGCAAAGTTAGATTAAAAAAAAAGGCACAGATCTATTGATTTAAATTGGTAGTAAAGTCTCCTTGAGAAAGTCCAAAAAAAGTGCCCATCTGCAGATTTAAGGCATAATGTACTAGTATGCACTGCATACTAGTACATTATGAGATACTTACCTACAAACAGAGCCCTCCAGCGCTGGGTTGTCACAGCTCCACAGATCTCCAGCGGCTTCCATATTAACCCAGTCTTCCTTCCAGGTTCCAAATCTTCGGTCTGAGCTGCGCATGCATGGCTCAGATCACATTACCAATGACAGATGGGCAACATTTATGACAGAACAGACCTCTAGGGTCTCTTCTGGTATAAAAAGCCCTGCCTGTCAGCGGATTTTGGCATGCCAGAGTTTAATTCCATTTTAATGTAAAAAAAAAAAAGAAAAAAAGAGACCTCCAAAAATACACCACAAACACACACTAACTCTGCACCCCCTGCTTCTTATTGATACAGACTTCACTCAGAGACCGTCAGAAAATTCTGCAAACGTCTTTTTTTGAAACACCATCATAAAAAACCCCCATTTTATTAAAACAAAGGAAAAAATATATACAGGGTGACCGGCAGGAGTTGGACGGTTTTGAAAAAAAAAAAATACTCAACGCAAAATGTATTTAATTTTACAAAAACAGAAGTCAAGACATGCCATTTGAGTTACTTCTTAAGTTATGAAAATAATGTCATTTAGATGATGACCATCCTCTTGAATGCAGCTGAGGACCGTGTTGTGACCGAGAACGACCAATATTGATTTCTCGACGAAATAGCTGCTGCGTTGCTGTGATAGACTCAACACTTCGAACAAAGCTGTCATAAGCAAACAAACAATGTTGTAAGGGCCACTGCTTCATTGTGACTAAATTGCCATTCTAGGGGGAGGGGGGGGTGCCCCTACCGTCACCACTTACCTAGTACTACCTGTTCTAAAAACATCCGACTCCCGTCAGTCACCCTGTAATTTCACCTTTGTCAGTTGTGAACGTTCAAAGAAAAAAAAAAAACAGGTGACAAATTATTAATTTTCATAAAAATATAGGAAAGCCAATGCATTGACTGCAGAAATGTCATACTAGATCCAGACAAGAAATGTTATTATTATTAATAGAGGGCTGTCAATTTACACAGCACTTTACATATTTAGTATATTGTACCCACTATCATTCACACTGAGATGATACAACAATCATCAACTCAGTGGAAAATTCTCTGCCTATGGAGATTCTCAAATAAGTCCTAAATTAGAAATGCTTCCATATCATCCAGCCTTTTATAAAACAGGAACCATATACTGTATGTATTCAGACCTTTCCAATGATATGCCGATTAGCGTGAAAAAGTAATTTGCTGACACGGAAAATGAAAAAACATAATTCTGAATAGCCATTTATAAAATCAACTGTCCTTTTCTATTTTTGTTAGGGCTAGTTTACATCATGTGCACTGGATAAAGCAGGTCAACACTAGGGCAAACTATACATTATTTTCTATTAAACCCGTCCACGCCACAACGTTGGTGTGATGTGCAGTGCAGGCACCGCACTGGATGGCATCGCATGTTATCACGCTGTTGTGTAGTGACTTGAAGAAAGTGTCACTATATTCAAATAGAAAGGCTGCATATACAGTAATAAATATGCTTCTTTTTCAATTTTTTATGTGCTGCAGCACGATATGCACCCCCATCCCAAACACTGCTCTAATCAACATTTCTGCAATGCTGATGAGAGCAGTGTTTAGTAGAGTATGTCAGACTGCAGAAGAGGTGGGCTGCTTAGGAGCAGGAGCACTGGCCCATTTTTCCTACTGCTGCCAGGACGATTAAAAAAAAAAAAAAAGTAAAAAAATTAGGTATATTTTTGGCATATTTATTACTATACTGTATATGTAGTCTTACTGCATTACAGTAATTAGGAGGGTTCCACTGAGCTTTAAAACATTGGAAGCCTTGTTCAGTTATGGCCCTAGTTTGGGAGTGTGAAAATGGAAAAAAAAAATAAAAAAAAACAACATGCTGTCAGTACATCACGTTGCTGTCAGTACATCAATCAGGATACATCATCTGCCACAATGTGATTACATTTAAGAATATTAGAACATTGTATTTGTCCCTACAGAATTATCGCATTGAACTATTAGTGAAGAGGGGGGTCACAGATCATTGGGTGAAGGAATGACAGCGCTCATCAAGGTTTGGTGTGTATCATAGGTTCCCATTCATCCAAAGCAGTAGCTCTGTGCAGCTCAGGGCTGCTGTTCATTTGTAAGCGGGGTGTTTATAGGGTTGTTGGTGTTGAGGGAAGGATAGGCAGAATTATTGATTGATCTGTAATATGTGGCGGACTCCTATCAAAGACTGAATTGTAAGTCCACTTCTCTGCTCTTACATACCATTTAAAGTAACTGCTAGCCCTGCCATATTATCCTTATATTTCATCCATATGTTTATTAACACAACTTTCCAGTTAGCGCTCACTATCCATTTTGCTGGATTCCCCATATATGTAGGGTGGCAGTAACCTAGCAGACTTTGCTTGACAGGAAGGTTCTGCACCAAGGACTATAGTGTAGAACTGGACAGAAGGGACAGTGGCTGCACCTGCACCTTTCAGTGTATACATTGAATGCCATTGGTCTAGACTCTAGAAGATCGGAGGGTAAAACTTGCACATTTACCTGCTGTATACCTGAACATCAGTACCACATTTAGGCCGCATTCACAGCTCACGATATGGCAGAGTCGCTGAGATTCTGCCTGCAATTCCAAATCACATGGCAATCGCTACAAAACGTGCAACGCATTTGTGCCATTATTCTTCAATGTAACCCCAAGTGTGATGCCATTCTGCGGTTATTGCTGTGCAGCAATTGCGGCAACCCACACCATTAAAAATCATGTGAAGCTAGTTGCTCAAAATAGGAGCAGGAAATCCATTTAGGACAGCCTATTCAAGTGAATAGGCTGGCCCTATGCAACACACAGAATCGCATCAGAACCGCACTTTGGAAATCAAATCGTGGGAGCGCACATTCCCACAACACGATACGTGAACGAGGCCTAACAATATTCCACCTTTACTTTGACTTGCCTGCCCTCCCTCAGAACACACACAATCTGTAACACTGCAAAGGAAAAAGATAACAACAAGATGGTAAGTTTTAAAAACACTGTATGGAAAGCTCTTGTGTGCCATGTTGGAATGATCCATAAGAAAGAAACCAGCAATCTAATTTAATTATAGTACTATGGTAGGATTCACATTAATTATTAGGTTACATCGAAACATTATTTAAGTAAAAAAAAAAGAATACCTAATCTTGCTAAACAGCAAACAAAAAGCTGCGCAGTTATGAGACCTAGAGCCTAGATCACATGATCTTATGTTTCATAGCATTAGAGATTGCGGAGGCCTATCACCTTATACAGTGATAGCGATGAAAAATCACAGCCCAGAGCTCTGTCTTGATGTTCAAGACAGAGCTTTTAACAGAGGGAGTGATCTCTGTGGTTCTTAGAAACCTCTTAGTAAATGCAGCACATGTTTAACCCCTTGATTGTCCTAGATAACCCCTTCTGGGAACTGTGATAACATGGTAGACAATCTGACACACTGATGCTGGAGGGAACTGACTAACTGCTGCTGACATCATGAGTGACAATAATACCGTGATCAGTGATATTATACACTGTCACTGTACTAATGACACTGGCTGGGGCCAAATGTGATTATTTTTTTTATTGTTTATATTGCAAAAAATAAAAAACCCAGTGGTGATCAAATACCACCAAAAGAAAGTTCTATTTATTTGTGATGATATAAATTTTGTTTAAGTACAGCGTTGCATGACAGTGCAATTACCAGTTAATGTAGCACAGCGCGGTATAGCAAAAAAATTGCCTGGTCATGAAAGGTCTTCTGGAGCTCAAGTGGTTGAAGGCAATTTAGTATTTATCAAGTCCATTCTTTGAAACTCATAACCTGGATCCTTCTAGTCGTCATAACTAGATTCTTACTAAATGAAACGTTCAGTCTGTATCTCACTTTACAAACATCTAAGAACCCATTTATAAAAGGTTGAAGTTTCTTTCTGGGAAGACAGACACTTTAGTTTAACAGAGAAAAAAAAATGATTTTGCATACTCGTTTCAAATAGATACAATCCTTTTTAAAACTTCATTTTGCACCAAAATGTTAGCCACGAATATCCCTGAAGCGACAGTTTTGCTGCAAACACAGGTTCTTGGAATTTTGTTTTTTATAATCACTTTCATAAAATTATTTATAACATTTCAAAGACCTACATTAACTTAAATTTAATTCATCTGCTTTCTTTTTAAAAATAAATTCATAGTCAAGCAAATGACTGAGATACCTGTACTGCAGTACATGCAGATTACTATTGTGATTGTGCCCAAAAAGTAATTAGCTTACCACACACTGATTATTTATATCAGCATTTACCGACAGCAGTCCAGTTTTAGAGAAACATAATTAAGGCAGGATGAGCCCACAAGGTTTAAAGCCTACTGTTGTGTTCTTGATCTCATACACCTGCAGCACTTCCCCCAACAGCAGTCTGGTAGATTCCAATCAATGATGAGATTGTCCCCATCAGACCCACCAACCATGTAGGAAAGCAACCACCCCACAGAAAACCAGGTGGCATCCAGTGGATGGCATTAGTCAGATCGGAGAGGCAGCTGACAATGCACAACATTTCTGACCTTGTCTGAAATTTGATTTCACCCCGGCTTTTTGGCATACCACTCCTGTAAAATAACACAATTACATATCAAAAAGACATTTTTTAATTAGTTATATATAACATTAGTAACTGGGTTTGTGTGTTAGGCATGTGATGGAAGGGTAGGTGAATTGACTGTAGTGGAAGGCTAAATTTTGGTGACAAGAAATACTGGGGGGAATTTTAAGACCGTTTTAGAGCTATGGTGGCTGAAAGATCTGCAACACACTTCTAGGCCTGTCAGGTGACTGGCCCTCCTGCATTGTGGTTTCTCCCAGCAGCTGCTTTGTCACTATGGGACACAGTGGTGATGTTGGGGTCATCAGATGGAACCACAGTGTGTAGTGAGACACGCAAGAAACCCAGAAATTTTTCAGCCAGTGCTTACCCTGCAGTGAATATTGATGACAGGGGCGACAGGAAGTATAAACCCTTTTCTTTAAAAGCAATGTTTATTTAATAATGTTCCTCTGGTGAAAAAAGTCAATTTAAAGCAGAGTTCCAACCCCTTTTTTAATTTTGCCCCCGGCCCTGAACTCTGATCAGCAATGCCGGTTGCCGATCAGAGTAAAATTAATGTTTGGAACAGGGGCAGACTGACAACTCATGGGCCCCCCGGGCAATAGGGGATTATGGGGCCCCTGTGTCCTTGCCCAAACTCAAAAAAGCCTATGAAAAAAGTACCAGGGGCATCTCATGGGGCCCCCTACTGACCCGGGCCCTCGGGCAGTGCCCGAGTTTCCAAATGGTCAGTCCGCCCCTGGTTTGGAATGTTTTCTTTTTAATGCAAATTACCTGTAGGCTAAATATAGATCTTCACTTCCATTGTACCTCCCTGTGGCGAGGTACGTCATATCCTGCCGCCTTTGGCTTCTGGGATATAAGTGTCATCAATCCCAGGAGTCAATGGGAAAACTGATTGACAGATTGCCATAACAATGTAGTGGAAACGTCTTCAGACACTGCCATTGCTATGGCAACCTGCAAGACGAGTGTGCCACACTTTGTACACACTACACAGGAGTAAGATCAGGAGGTGCATGCTGGGTAGCCAGCAGCACCGTATCCCGAAGGAAACGCCAAGCGGGCTTCAGATGCCTACAATGAAGATGGGAGCTTGCATGTCACAGAGGCTACTGTGAGCTAATTGAATAACTAAATAACTAAAAATATTATTACATATAAAGCATATGTCAGATTGCAATAGATAAGCTACGACTATCACAGGGGTGTTTTTAGAAAAAGAAAAAGGAGCTAATTTCTATCACAATTTAGGCCACTGTTCTCCATTATGAATTGAGCTTACAATTCTATCCTAAACAGCTTTTATATACCGGTAATTCCCATTCAGCACTGTAACCCTAAAGTCATTTAAGTTTCTAAAGGAAAATCAGTTTTTCCTTCTGGTAATCATGAATCAATGTAGGTTTTTCACTGGTGGGAGATCCGCCCCATTTCACCTACAAATAATTCTGCAGGGTACATTACACACATGACCATGTACACAAAGTTTTGGGTTCTGCAGGAGTTGTTTTCTATTATAAAGCTAGCCATAGATAGGTTTTAATCTGGTAAGGTTCAGCAGGGAGTAGCTGAGATTCTATCCATCTACGGGCAGGCTGGTTGCAGTAAAGTTGGTCGACTTAAGTACAGCCGGCCTGTTGGAATTTTGTCATCATATAGTTAAAGGTTGGTGCTTACACTCAAAAAATCATGAAAAAGTGCTTAAATCCATATAGATAGCATTACATAATAACCAAATGTCTTATTACAATAAAAGTCCCATACCATTCCGTGTGAAAAACTGCTCTATATTATATGTCCGTCCTCTTCTTCTTCCTTATTACACCAGTGCTATACCACATGTTTCGCTCTAATGCATTCACCACAATATAAGACCCCTTAACGAAAAGGAAGGAGTCTTTTTAAAGACTCAGATGCGATTTCAAAATGGTTTGGTTGGCAGGTGGTATTTCCTCTCTGTGGACACTTCTTCCCCAGTGTGCAACTCCCTCTCAGAAAATGAAAAATATTCCAAACACCAGAACCAGAAGTGACATCATAATGTAAATCATATATGATGAGCGTGTTACCACCTCTATGTTTCTCCATTTCGCCATCTTCAAAAAGCTCTACTCACTGGAGCCACCATGACTGCACAATGATGGTATTTACTTTTCGGTGTACACTATTAATTTCTTGAGATGGAGTTGAAAGTCACACTGGGGACGAAGAGTCCACAGAGAGGGAATACCATTTGCCAACCAAACCATTTTGAGATCGCATCTGAATCTTTGGAAAAAGCACTTATAGCCTTCCTTTTCATTAAGGAGTCATATATTTGTGGTGAGTACAATGGAATGAAACACGTGGTGGAGCACTGGTGTAACAAGAAAGAAGAAAAGGAAAGACATAATATTACAGACGCTTTTTTCACACTGAATAGTGTAGGACCTTTATTGTAATGAGAGATTTGGTTATTATGTAATGCTATCTCTTTGGATTTAAGCACTTTTTCATAATTTTTAGAGTGTAAGCGCTGTATCTTTTTCAACTATATGACTGCTTAAACTGGAGTTACACTTAAAGGGGCAGCGACAAGTTTTGTACATAATGGGCACAATACAAGTAGTAATCACAAGGTTTGAGTTCTAGGGAAATTGCAATAGATTTTAATTTTTAAAGGAGCAGGCACCACTATTAGTAATCTTTCTTGGATTTTTGTCATGCCATCACTGCTGTTGACTATAGCTGCCAGAAGTGATCTTTTAATTCTGCCGGCAAAGAATGCTCCCAGATGGCAAAACACAATTGTGCAGCAGTGTCCTTACCATGCTGGAAGGAAAGAAAATTGCATAATCTATATGGCAGTCTCCATCTCCAGCCCGGTGTGCCAATATTTTCTGTGGCCAGAACTAACACATGCACGTTTAATAAAGCATATCTAAACCCAAAACAAAAATGAAATATGTTACACTTTACCAGTCCTTAGATGTGGTGATTGCATTAGTTTTCTCTTTTCAGGCCTTTCTCTTTATTTTCACCTGGTAATTTGTGAATCCTGCCCTTTGTTAATCACAATTACAATGATAGTTCAAGGGATTAGTCATTTACACAAACAAAGATAACATGATGTTCTGGAAGTAACAAGAACTGCATTTCTGGGTAGATCAACAGGTATTTTATGTGCTTGCTGAAAATATGTTTGACCTGGGAAAAAAAAAAAAAAAAAAGAAGAAGAATGCAGCCACAACATCTAAGGACTGGTAAAATGCTATATATTTTTTTAATTTGTTTTGGGGTTTAGGTATGCATTAAGCAATGGTGTGTCAGAGCATAAGGATTTTGCATGCCAGACCATGGATTTTTGAGTGTCACATTTATCTACTATTTTGCTGAATGTGCTTATAGATATGGGTTCAGAGCAGGTGAATTCTTACTGATAAACTAGGTCCTGTGGCTACGTATTCCACTTTAATCCTGTGAGCAAAAAACCTTTTTATAAAAGTATGACACAAAAATCTGGCTATGCATACGGCCAATTGCCTAAACTAAATATTTCCCAATGTCCATTACATTCTTAAAGCATCTTAAAGCAGTATTAAACCCAAAAGCAAAAACGTATATTGCAGCTTATCAATTCTTAGATATGATGGCTGTATACACCACATACTGATAGCTGAAAATACTGCCCAAATATTTAGGGAGATTATTATTTTGGGTGTCACACCACCCAAAACTTCCTCCTCCTAAATATTTAATCCAGTATTTTATGCCTATGGCCAATCAGTCAAAATGTCTAGAACATACCTACAGTATATTTCTAAACATGCTTCAATACTGAACACTAATTACAAGCAACTTACTCAGAATGTTTTCCTTTAGTTCTTCTCAGTTTCAGTAAAATTCTTAAAGACCTAATCAGAGAAAAAAAACAATCCTATAAAATAAACTAAGCCATTAATTCTTTAAATTTAAATTATATAAACAAGGAATGCTAACTGCCTAGCTATCACACTGATCTTCCAGTCTTACTACTTAGTGAGTCACTGATTTGGAGCAAGCATTGGGTGTTGCAACTTCAGGGGCCACAATGTTCCATATTAGTGAATAAGTACTAAAAGGTGGATGCTGAGGATGACAAATCAAACAACTGGAATTTAAAAAAAAAAAAAAAAAAAAAAAGAGGTCAGTAATGGCAGAACAGTTATTTTTGCTTTTAAAAGTACAAGTTCACCTTTTGGAATATGTTACATGTGTCTCCTGTATTTAGAGTGTAATATGTAACATGTTCCAGATCCTTCTGCCTTCACCTCCAGATCCCCCTTCAGTATGTCAACAAGCGGTGGATTTTATATTGGGAAAGCAGAACTTCTAATTCATTCTCCTTTTAGGCCCCTTTCACACACGTGGACCGATCGGGTCTGCCTGCCCATTTTTTAGGTGGATCCGATTGGACACTCCATTGCTCTTTATGGAGCGGTGGGTATAAAACGGACATATGTCAGTTTACACCCGCCAGCATCTGATCCGATCCTGTCTTCTAAAACAGATGGATGGAATCCATTCCCCATCCGTCTGGCAGATTGGATGACAGTTGGATGGAAACAGACAGACAGTCAGTTTCCATCCAACAGCCCATAGAGGACAGCGGGCTGTGTCAGTGTCCACTCTGCATAAGCGTAGCGGACACAGATCTGTGATCCGCTCGCTCAGCGTGGATCAGCGGGCAGATCCCCCGCTAAGCAAGGGGATCTGCCCCCTGTGAAAGAGGCCTTAAAGACAATGGAGTTTATTTACTAAAGCTAGAGAGTGCACAATCTGGTGCAGCTCTGCATAGAAACCAATCAGCTTCCAGGTTTTTATGTCAAAGCTTAATTGTACAAGCTGGAGTTAGAAGCTGATTGGCTAACATGCACAGCTGCACCAGATTTTGCACTCTCCAGCTTTACTAAATCAACCCCAATGAATTAGAAAACACTTAAATCATTTAATTATTATGACAGCCAAGTAACCAGCATATTCAGAACATGAAGTCAGCAGCCTTCCTACAGATTTACTTAAGGAGGTTGCTGAGTATACAACTCTAACTAAACACAAGTTCTCATTTTAAATAGTATTGTTTGCTCATAGGGAGCTTAAAGACAAGCAAACACACAAACAGGTTGCAAGTAATCTGACCTCTCCCTACATCGCAGGATTACTTACTTTATGTGCAAGTCACTGCTTTATATTATTATTATTATACAGGATTTATATGGCGCCAACAGTTTGCTCAGCGCTTTACAATATAACGGGAGACAATACAGCAACAATACAGTTCCATACAAGAGGGATTTGAGGGCCCTGCTCCTTGGAGCTTACAATATAGGAATATATAGAATGCAATATGTTTCTGCAATCTCCCAATCTCCACCAAAATTATGAAAATATATAGCAATCATTTAGCAATCAATGCAAAGGTTTTTCAGATTTTGCCAGAACCACTCCTTTAAAGCGCTCCTCCCCTAAAACCTGATTAATGGGAGTGTGAGGGGCGTTACATGGGATTGTCAGAGTAATATGGAAACAATGCTCATATTTGTTTCAGTAAATTCCAGTATACTGCAGTTCTAGGACATTACCTGCTAATGTTGCTAGATGTTCCAGCTGAACAAGAGGGCCCTAAAGTTAAAGGAGAAGTATAGCCAAAGCAAAGCTGCAGTTTGTTCTGCACTCCTGTGCAAGTAAAGCTTGCTGTCGGCAGACGTCAAAGTGCCAGTCAAGGCTTTGAAAAGATCCCGACCATATGGTCGGGATCCACCCAGAAGCCTTGACCAGCACCTGGCTCAGGCTCTCAGCAATCCACTGAGCCTGAGCCAGCCCCTTCTGACCCTCCACAGCCCAGCACTCCAGTGAGCACTCCAGTGGGCACTGGAGGGGCAGAGCAGAGAACTAGAAATTGACAGTTATGGCTCTCTGCTCAGAGTGGAGGGGGAGAACTGAACGCTCAGCGGTGTTTGATCGCCGCTCAGTTCTTAGTGCAGAGCCGGCAGGGGACAGATGCAGCATCAGATTGTTGCTGCAACTGAGAGGAATATGGATGTCCAACTACCGCCCTCTTCACCGACTTATGAAAAAGACTGGTAAATCTCACATCGCAATTGTTACTGGGTTTATTTAATTAGCCCTTTAAACTGCCACCACCACCACCTTTTTTACCAAGGAGGAGGAAACTCATAATCTTAGCAATAACAAGATTGATTTTTGAATAAACGCCTGTAAGACGCACTGTCACCACAGACAAGTATGTTCAGACATTTATACTTGATAGGAAGATTGCATATTACATATCTCCTTATTAATATTGTGGCTCACTAATGTTTAAGAATGCCTCCAAGCCTTGGTTAAAGGATAAGTTCACCTTTTGGACAAAAATAATAAATTCACTTTTTTTGCAGGTAAGAAAATGTGCATTTATTATTTTTGTCCAAAGGACCCTGAAAAGCATTGCACCAGCGATCAGTAAATCGCTGATGCCATGCAGGTCTCCTGTAGACCTGTCAGAATATCTGCTTGTCATACGGGATGTACGGTCAAGCAGATATACTGACAGGAAGCTTCAATGAACACTGTGAATAAGTGGTGTGGCCGTGTGGGCGGAGCATGGCCATGTTGTTTTCAAATTGACAGATAGTACAGGGAAACCTCTCCCCATATTATCTGTCGGAGGGAGGACGGCGGGCTTGGCTGCAGTTGTGGGAACATGTTACATGTTCCATCCTATAAACGGGTGAAACATGTAACGGCTCTTTCACATGGGACAGACCCGTTTAGCAGATCTGATTGCTCAGCGGTGGATCTCTCTGTTGCGCAAGCGGATGACAGCTCTGTCTGCTCTGGTGCTGAATTAGATCCCCATCCGTCCCTTTTTGGCAGATCGGCTGTTTGGTGGGTGTAAATGGACAAATGTCTGTTTACACTAGCCACTCCACAGAGGAGAATGGAGGTTCGGATCGGGTCCACCTGAAAAATGGGCAGATGTACCTGATCGGAATGTTTGTGTGAAAGAGCCCTAACATGATCCAAAGGTGAACCTATCCTTTAAAGGGGTGTATGAGGACAAAGTCTGATTACCTTAAATAACAAAGGAATGTAACTATATGGACAAGCCAGCCCACTCTCCTTTCAGGAATGTGCCATTTTCCTTAGAAGCTCATCATGTTGTTTGTAAGGGTGGTGGGTTGTCGATTCCTTACACATAAGTCCAGTATACAGCACACAGCTAGACTGGAAATATTTGTCTCACTCAGAACTGCCATGAGGCATTGTCTGCACTTGATCCACAGCGCCATGCCATATAATGGGAGGACCCGTGGTGGAAAACACATTTTTAGTCAAGTATTCTTGTTATATTTTCTAATATTTGTCATCTGTATCTGTCATTACTTTTATTAAATGTTATACTTATAAGTATTTGTATGATCTCTCTTTGCACATATCGAATACAACCCCAAAAACATAAACTATCACGTGACCGTGATACAAGAATACTACAGTAGCACTCTTCAGGAGATAGGGATTCTTTTAGTTTGCATTAAATGCCTTAATATCCTCAACACTTTTCAAAATAGAGTTTAATAATCAAAAAGGTCAAAATGGTGCAAATAAAATATTTACAGAAAAAAGGTGTTAACTGAAAGAGACAACAAAGCAACACAGAAATAAAAAGGAGTTGAAAATGAGAAAATACTTGCAAATTCTGATTTCAGCAAAGTCCAGTGCATGAGCAAAAACAGTACAGTGGCTCATATACATCCTGTTAGGTGTTCCTTGGTTTGATGATGAAACAAGAGCTGCCCTGGCATTCCCCTTTTCTGTGGAATCAAAGGGGTGTTGACAGAGGCCATCTGACCAATTAAGCATCTGAGGGGTGGTTGCTGGGATGCCACCACTTTTATGATCAAGTCTGAGTTCATACAGTTTTCTATAAGTATTCATATCTCTGAATATCTGCAGGGTACAGTTGACTACCCTGCTTATTACTGTCCAGCATGAAATTAGCATCAAAATGATTATAGATATAATAGGTCTCGAATATCTATTTCTCATAGGGGGAGTAGAGTCCTAATCCTCCTAATGGTACCTCCTAGCATATGGGTGTTTGGGTTCAAACCCAATAACTGATGAAGGTGAATAGGACTGTATTCTGCTATACGGTCATAGTTTCAGAAGTTATGAAATATAGTGGGCTTCTACTGAGACAGATGTGTGTTCTACAGACTTCCAGCTAAGGTATTTATGACCCAATGTCTGTTAATTCTTCTAGTCACTGAAGCGGCTACGTCAGACACTTTTATGGGCCCTGAGATGTGTATTGGGGGTTAGATTCTGCTACTGCTATTAACAGACAGATAAGGGGTGTCAGTTAACAGTTGTGTATTGTATAAACTGAAGGAAGGAGGAGGGAAAGGTTACTGTGGCTATGCCTTCTTATGACAACATAGCATGGGAGACTTGTGACGTGAACAAAATGGCTGCGAACACACAGCTATTCGGTGCCAGGTACATACGACCACTACAGCATCCACCAAGCTGAGTATAATGGGTTTTTTTTAAAGCCCATATTTCTCTTTTAACTCATCCTGAACTACAAACATTGGAGTGTTATTTACACAAAGAACTTGGCTCCCTTTATCCACTGGCCAACTTGATCCTGAACTCCAGGCAAATAAAAAACACCAGTTTGTGAAGGTGTGTGTTCATAACAGTGTGAAGACCTGAGCTTTTCTGCACGCATTCTGCTAGAGCGCAAAGAAATCAATTGTTCTCTAATGTGCCCTGTTCACACCACAACACTGCATTAGGTGCAGATTTTTTCCTGCACAGGAATCTGCAATGTGTATAAAACTAATTGAACCACACTTGAAAATTGATGTAAACTTGTGTCTCTGCAAGTGAAATCTGTGCAGTTTTTTTCTGCATGTATGGTGTGAACGAGGTTTAACCACCTTCCGCCCACCCTATAGTACAATGACGGGCGCAAGTTGGTTCTCTCGTTCTGACAGGACGTCATATGACTCAGGTAGCACGCAGCGCGGCAATCGCCGGTGCGCTGTGCCCCTCGGACACAGCGAATCACGGAAAGAGCCGAAGATATCGGCTCGGTCATGTGATCAGCTGTGTCCAATCACAGCTGATCACATGTAAACACGGAAATGCCGGTTATCGACATTTCTCTCCTCTCGAGCTGTCACGCTGACAGCTCGAGAGGAGAGCCAGTAATCGGCTTTCCGCGGAGGGGGCATGTACACTGATCATCAGGGCACTGATGATCAGTGTGCCCTGATGATCAGTGTGGCCCCAGAAGTGCCACCTGTCAGTGCTCGCCAGTGCCATCAGTGCCCATCAGTGCCACATATCAGTGCACATCAATGCCACATATCAGTGCCCATCTGAGCTGCCTTTCAATGTCACCCATCAGTGCCAATCAGTGCCACCTATCAGTGCTGCCAATCAGTCACAGTCAGTGTCGCCTATTAGTGCAGCCTATCAGTGCCGCCTATCAGTGCTAGCCAGTGCCGCCTATCAGTGCCATATATCAGTGTCATGTATCAGTGTCATGTGTCAGTGCTGCCTTTCAGTGCCCATCAGTGATGCCTGTCATTGCCCATCAGTGCAACCTACCAGTGCCACCTATCAGTGTCCATCAGTGCAGTCTATCAGTGCCCATCACTGCAACCTCATTAGTGCACATCAGTGAAGGAGAAAAATCACTTATTTACAAAATTGTATAACAAAAACTAAGAAAAAACTTTTTTTTTCCACAATTTTCAGTGGTTTTTGGTTTGTTTAAGAATAAATAAAAATCCCAGAGGTGATTAAATACCACCAAAAGAAAGCTCTATCTGTCTCAAAAAAATTATCAAAATTTCATATGGGTACAGTGTTGCATGACTGCGCAATTGTCATTCAAAGTGTGACAGCGCTGGAAGCTGGAAATTGGCCTGGGCAGGAAGGGGGTATAAGTGCCCTGTAGGCTAGTGGTTAAAGAATCATTAAGTTCACTTTTAAAAAGCAACTGTTATAAGCACCTGATTTTGATTTGCTATCAGCCTGTTGCCGTTCCTGTACAGCAGAGCTCAGTCTGGGAGAAGAAGCACAAGGAGCCAATAATTTGTACTACAGAACTCAAGGGTTAACAAATAATATGCTGACAGAAGGGGGATCTGAATACCAGACAAATGCGCTCCTTTTACTTCTGTTCCTTCTCCTTAACTGTAATACTGTAAAACTGTAATAGAGCAAATCAGGTCACAAGACTGGCTGTGTGCCAGGGCTGTGTAATATATGGACAGAAATGCAAACCCTGTTACAAGTAAAACATCCTAGAGTTCAGTTTTAAAGTGCAGATGAAACACAAGTGTAAAATACAAGAGCAAAATACCGTGTAAAATGTTCTATAGCTGCATATTTTAGTATGTGCAAGTGCTCTGTTCTTAACTAATAGTTTGAAGCAACATACCTTATTATTCCTACTAAAAGTGAAAGACCCCAAAGAGCAGTGCTCGCAGTCCACCAAATATCAGATTTGGTTTGAATCACCCCAGCGTCAGCAGCCCAGGCCACATGCTCACATGGATAGTAGAGCTGATCAAATATGTTACCAATGACAGATATCCATCGGATAAGACGGTCCTCCTCCTGGTCAAGTTTATACAATTAAAGAAATACTGTGAGTTAAATAATACACAGCGGTATGCAGAGAAATTTAGGAAACAGGTTTCTTGATTTTCTGTTCATGTAGCACAATGTAACATACAGTTTTAATGTATTGGACTAAACAACTCTTTGGAAAAATGCATTAAAAGGTGCTACTCACTGTAAAGTGGGGCAGAAACTCAGCTGTTTTAACTCTTAGGGCCAGTTCACACCAGAATCACACAGGAACAAGATCCAGGTTCCTGTGTGATTCCTGTACATCCCATGCAGTGCGATTTGGAGGGCTGCAAATCGCACCAGGCTGCACAAAAAATAAAACATGTACGCCGCTCCAAGTCACATGATACTTCAGTACCACATGATCTGGTGCCCACAAATGAACTGCGATTGCCTTGAATGGATTTTTTTTTACCTCTGGCGCAATTGGGAAGAATTCCCCTCATTTCCTGTACAAAACATGAGGGAATATGGGTATCACTGGACCAGGATGGCACACACAGCAATAAAAACATTGTCAGACGTAAGAACATCATCATCCTTCCAATGAGATCCTGGATAATGCCAATTAGCCCACATGTCAACACAATGCATGATCACCATTTTGCAAAAGCTGGGCACTCAGCATGCCTTGGGGTCTTACTGCAAGAACTGTCATATTGCTCTCATCTAGGTGCTGCAGATGAAAGCAGAGGAAGATAGGTATATTAATGAAATCACCCCTCCCCCACTGTTTTTTACAGTTTAGTGCAGTGAAAGTGCCCTTTCTTTATAAGAGTTAGTGCAAGGTCTGCTTTAACCGGAACAGCTAAACAAAAACCTTAACTCTAACACTAACCCAGCCTCAGAGTTTAATCCCTTATACTAAACTAACCCCTTCTGCAGCATCCTTATCCCATCCTATGCTAGAAGCAACAACACTGAATCCTTAAGCTACTGAACAAAGTGGTTTGGGTCTGTATGTTTCTTTTTGGGTGGGGGGATTCAAATCACAAGACAAATACAAAGTAACTTAGATCTTAGGTCTTAGCAGAAACTGGGTTGAAGTGATTCTAAATTTTTTTTTTTTTTAATAACAAACATGGCATACTTACCCTGCTCTGGGCAATGGTTTTGTACAGAGCAACCCCCATCCTTTTCTTTTTTGGTCCCCCCTGCTAGTGATCCTGCTTCCTCCCCCCTGCTAAGAGCCCCCAATAGCAAACCACTTTCTATGGTGGCACGCAAGCAGGCTTGCTTCCAAGCCACGCTCCTGTGAATGGACATGACTCAGTCACACACAGAGCTCGGCCCTGACTCGCACCCGCTCTCTCCTCATTGGCTCACTGGCTGTGATTGACAGCTAAAGGCTCCTGCTGCTGTGTGAGCCAATGAGAAGGAGAGGCCTGAGCGAAGCATGGAGAGGCCTGAGAGAGCTGCTTCTCTCATGAACATCGCTGGAGCGAGAAGGGGCTCAGGTAAGTATGAGGGGGGGAAGTAGGGGGAGCTGCACCCAGAAGGGTTTTTACCTTAATGCCTTCAGCCTGTAGGACCACTTTAAATCAGATTACCACTCTGAAACCCCCCAGACTCTACATAAAACTATATGTTGTAATTATTTGTTATTACATAAAATAGCCTTCATTGACAGAAGCTGAGAAAATAAAAAAAATTAACATTTCATCTAATAAAAAAAAGGAATTCTAGGATTTGGATTTACACACTACATTTTTACCATATACAGTTGCAAGAAAAAGTATGTGAACCCCTTGGGATTACGTGGAGTTTTGCATGAATTGGGCATAAAATGTGCTCTGAACGTCATCTAAGTCACAACAATAGAAGAACACAGTCTGCTGAACATAATACTACACAAACATTAGATGTTGCCATGGTTTAATTGCACATAACATGTAAACATTCACAGTGCAGGGAGGAAAAAGTATGTGAGGCCCTAGCTTAATGACTTCTCCCAGAGCTAATTGGAGCCAGGAGTGAGCCAACCTTGACTCCAATCAGTGTGATGATATTGGATGTGTTGCTGACAGCTGTCCTGCCCTTAAAAAACACACACCTGTTTTGGGTTTACTGGTTTCAAGAAGCACTGTCTGATGTGAACCATGCCTTGCAGAAAAGAGCTCTCAGAAGACCTACGATCAAGAATTGTTGACTTGCATGAAGCTGGAAAGGGTTACAAAAGTATCTCCAAAAGCCTTGATGTTCATGTGTCCACGCTAAGACAGACTGTCTACAAATCGAGAAAGTTTAGCACTGTTGCTACTCTCCCTAGGCGTGTGGTCATCCTGTAAAAATGACTGCAAGAGCACAGCGCAGAATGCTGCATGAGGTAAAGAAGAATCCCAGAGTGTCAGCTAAAGACCTACAGAAATCTCTGGCACATGCTAACATTTTTGTTGACACATCTACAATAAGGAAAACATTAAACAAGAATGGAGTACATGGGAGGACACCACGGAGGAAGCCATTGCTGTCCAAAAAGAATATTGCAGCACGTTTGAAGTTTGCAAAAGAGCACCTGGATGTTCCACAGCACTACTGGCAAAATATACTGTGGACAGATGAAACCAAGATTGAGTGGTTTGGGAAAAATACACAACACTATGTGTGGAGAAAAAAAGGCACAGCACACCAACATCAAAACCTCATCCCCACTATAAAACATGGCGGAGGGAGCATCATGGTTTGGGGCTGCTTTGCTGCCTCAGGGTCTGGACGGATTGTTGTCACTGATGGGAAAATGAATTCCAGAGTTTATCAAGACATTTTGCAGGAAAACGTACGACCATCTGTCCGCCAACTGAAGTTCCGCAGAGGATGGGTGATGCAACAGGACAATGACCCAAAGCATACAAGTAATTCAACAAAACAATGGCTACAACAGCACAGACTGGAGTGGCCCAGTCAGAGTTCTAACCTGAACCCGATTGAAATGCTGTGGCATGACCTTAATAGAGCGATTCACACCAGACATCCCAAGAATATTGCTACACTGAAACAGTTTTGTGAAGAGGAGTGGTCCAAAATTACTCCAGATCGTTGTGCAGGTCTGATCTTCAACTACAGGAAAAGTTTGGTTGAGGTTATTGCTGCCAAAGGAGGGTCAACCAGTTATTAAGTCCAAAGGTTCACATACTTTTTCCTCCCTGCACTGTGAATGTTTACATGTTATGTGCAATTAAACCATGGCAACATCTAATGTTTGTGTAGTATTATGTTCAGCAGACTGTGTTCTTCTATTGTTGTGACTTAGATGACGTTCAGAGCACATTTTATGCCCAATTCATGCAAAACTCCACGTAATCCCAAGGGGTTCACATACTTTTTCTTGCAACTGTACATTAGAGCTAATGAGAAAGTTACAGCATTTGATGACAAAAAAGTAGAAAATCTTAAAGTGACAATGTTACTTAACTATCTAAGTAAACTATCTAAAAAAAAAATCTGTGTTCTGCCTTAGATGAGCTCTAGTAGCCTATTCTGGTGGACTTTGTTTCTTTACTTTACTCCATTCTAGCAATGTGGCCTATGTCAGACTCTTCAGCATTGGACACTTCCTGGAATGTTCCTGACCACATGCTGTGGTTCTGTGCTGTGAACTGTCATTGAAGTCTGAGGATGTGAGACAGCGTGAGGTGGGGAACAATGTCATCTGACACTCTCAAAAGTGAGAAATGCTGAAGAGTTAGAAATGGAGAGACTATAATACACATGGGACACCAGACATGTGGGCACAGTGCTCGCCTACTGCATGGAACTGCCACATAAACTGTTTTAATCAACTGATAGGGCTGCTTTAAAGGAGAAGTAGGGGTAAGGCTCTTTTGGCGTTACTTCTCCTGTGGGTCACAAGAGTACACTCCATTCTGCATTCCTGTTACCCAGGGCTAAAGCCCCCTGTTGGCTGATGTCATTCAGCCGGTCCAGCCTGTGGAGGGATCCTGACTTTATTGTCAGGATCCACCCAGATGCCTGAGCAGCAGCTGGCTCAGCCTCTCAGTGTGCTGCTGAGACCCTGAGCCAACTGCTCCTGCCCTCTCCACAGCCTGGCACTCCAGAGAGCGCTAGAGGGGTACAGAGCAGAGAGCCAGTGACCGACAGTCCTTGCTATCTGTTTACTGAAGACCGAGAACTGAACGATCAGTAGTTTTTTGTTTTTTTTTTCAAAAACCCATACTTTTCTTTTAACGGGCTATCATTGTACGGGTAAAGGATTTTAACATACGTTGAGGAATCGCCTTCACTGTATGCTGGCTTTTCTCAGGATGTTTATCAGGTAATACACAAACATAATGGTCAACTCACTTTTTTTCCTAGGCCATATTGAAGAGAGTATGCAAGCATAGATAGGTCATCAAACAGCCTCAGTACAGTCCGACAGTGGCTTAGTTGTGAAGCTATAATGAGAAAGCTTTTTCCATACTGCTGTTTATCTCCACGCGTCTGTGTAATGACACCACCAAGTAACTGGCAGCTGTAGCACAATGTTCGCATCTATGAAAAGAATATGTAAAACATTCACAGGTATAAGAACCTCATCCAAAACAGAATACAGTATTGTTATTCACTTAGTGCTTCTTATCACTATAAACAAGGTTAAAATACAATAAAAGTTAAGGTACATGACTTTTCTATCTTTTGGAATGGATTAGAAGACAGGGAATTAGACCCCATGTCAGGTTTTTAGGGCTATTGTCAGGGTTCTGTCCACAGCAGAAGTTCTAGGAGATCTGGTACTCCTGCCAGTACCCTGCATGGCTGCAGAACTGTACGATGGCGAAGATCCATGCATGACGCACGGACGTGAGCTGGAACACGCATGCGCACTGGCGCATAGTTGCACACGCATTGGCTCAGTTTGGTGCCAGACGGCCTTTATAAGGAGGCTCATCACTCCAAGTTGCTAGTTGATCTCTGGCTCCCCAGTAGCATTGTCTGTGTTCCTTGCTATAGTGACTTCCTGTTACCAACCCGGCTTGCTCTTGGGCCTGTCTTCTCTGGGTGTCATTCAACCTTGAAGAGGATCGGTAGTGAAGGAGAGGGTGAGTAACGCTTTTCTTTTGGTGATAGAAGGGAAATGAAAAGCAATTTCTAAAAAAAAAGCTATTAAAAAAAAATTAGAACTGGACATGAACTTTAAGTTTAAGACCTCATTCACCATTTGTGGTTAGCACACACTGTGAATTCCAGTGAAAAGAATCTGTGGGCTCCTTTAACTGGAATGACACATGTGTGCGAAGAGCTGTGGCCTCAAAGCAATGATAGACTGATGGCAGTCACAGCTGAATGTTACTGTTTACGCAGCCAGTAATTACCTGCAGTTGGGAACAGATGATCATGGTTGGATGTAAACACACTGCATCCAGCCATAATCATCTGTCCCTAATCCCAGGTAATTTCTGGCTGTGTGAACAGTCATGGATAGCTATGGCTGTTAGCCTGTCATTGCTATGTATGGAGTTCACACACACCTGTTATTCCATTCACAGGAACCTACAGCTTTTTGATGCTGGAATTCACAGTGTGTCCTAAACACATAGTGCATATGAGGTCTTAAGCCAGCCAAACATGGATCAAAATGTGGCCGGTTCAAGAACCAGATGAATTTTGATCCATGTATGGACACCCTGGTTGTCAATTTATCAACTACTGTCTATATCCTGAATGATCAGTACCACCGGATATAGCTGGCAACAATAATCATTGCGCTCTGCTGGCAGGGAATGCTCTTTACCGACAGAACACAATAGCACTGCGGGAGGGATTTCCCCAATACCAATAAGTACGCTGATGGGGCAATCGAGTGATTTTCGTGGCGGGAGGTAAGAAAATTGCATAATCTATGGCCTGCCTTAAGGTTAGGTTAAAGTTCAAAGTGCGGCGCATGCGCGGCCGGCTGGACGAACATGTCCTGATAGAGCTCTGTCTCCCTGTCGGGTGACAGAGCCACAGAGCAGCGGATCCCGGCCTGCGACACATCGCAGAGGGACCCGATCCCCAAGGCGGGCCCCCCCTGACCTGAACCGCCCCAATTAGCAGCTGATCTGTAACTACGGGGCTTAGGATTCTGACAGGGGTTCTGTCCCCATAGCGAGCCGAATACAGGCCCGCCCACTGACCGGAGCCTGCACGGAGGCAGAGAAAAGAACGGGGGCTGAGGTGTTGATGACAGCCTCCCCCCCTGGCAAGTGGCATCATGGTTAAAGGGGCACCCCGACACCAGGCCCCCCCCTCCAACTAAAACAATTAAGGAGGCCCTAGCAAAGGCCTCAACAAAGATGGCCACCGCCCCAGCACATGGAAGCAAGCAGGCTGCAGTGACATACACAGCTCTACAGGATTCGCAGCCCAGCCATCCCTGCACATCTGAGGGCGAGTCTGACATTGAATTGGACACCCCTGCACATGCTTTGACATCTGACCTTACACCCCCTGACCTATTGGCACGCTTTGAAGAAATGCTGCACAGAGCTCTGAAGCAAACTTCTGACCGCATCACCGCCACACTATCTAGGGAAATCCGTGAACTAGGACAACGCACTGCTGACCTAGAACAGAGAGTGGACAGTCTTGACGTCTCGCTTCAGACACAAGCGGAAGACCTTGACCTCCTGCGTGACGAAAACGCAACACTACTAACGCGACTGGAGGACTTTGAAAACTGAGCAAAGCGCTCGAATTTGCGTATCTGTGGCCTTCCGGAAACAATCGTCGATGTCCAATCAACTGTAACAGCTCTATTCCAAGAGCTCGCCCCAGCTATCCCAATTGAAAGATTAGAAATGGATAGAGTTCACAGGGCGCTAGCCTCACGACGCACGGAAGGTCCACCACGTGACATTATAGCCAAGCTCCACTTTTTCCGCACTAGGGAGCAACTCCTACAAGCAGCTCGTACTACAGAATCTCTGCAGTTCCAAGGTCACACCTACCAACTATTCCAAGATCTGTGCCCCACGACTATTGCCAAGCGCAGGGCTATGAAACCCCACCTACAGGCACTTCAACAACACGGTATACCGTATAAGTGGGGCTTCCCCTTTGCAGTGCGGTTCCGATACCAGACCCGAGATTACACCTGCAAGACTCCAAAAGAGCTACTGGATACTCTGCGGATCCTGCAGTTACATTCCCCAGCAACACCGTCAGAGAGTACTAAACGGAGGTCCACATCCTGCTCGCCGCGGAAATCTTGTCCCCCACGTACAAAATGAAGGTCAACTCAGCCTCCATAAACGAGGGCGTTTCTCGTCACCAGGCCTGTCTCTGCAAGACACCATGGACTGAATTACGTCCCACATTTTTCTTTCTGCCACACACACCAGGCGGTGTACCCTTTTGACCATCATCGAGGTTACCACCCATGATGTCCTTTCTCTCTCTCCCTGTTGGATTTTGGTTGCCCCATAAGTTGGGGGCTGTTTTGGTTTTTTTTTTTTCTTTGTCTCCCCTATGTCACAGAGAACCAGTTGAACTTCATGTGTCAATAGTTTTACCCTCCCCCCCCCCCTTTTTTTTTTTTTTTTTTTTTCTTCTTTTTTCATCACTCCTCCTGGACTATATCTCAGTTTGCATTTGGGAGCCTCGGCTCTGGCGGCTCTGGAATGCCACATTTCTCCACCCATGTTGATTAACCCATGCAACCAGTGCTGCCCGAGCCTAGGACCCCACCAAATTCTTCAGATATTTTTCCACCTGTACTTCTTCCGGGATCCCGCTACCATATATTTATGTTAATACTGTCATCCCCACGGCCCGCATACCTGCGCACTCCACTCTAGCCCCTGTGTTATTGGCTATTTAATAGCACTTGGTCTACTATTGCTCCCTGGCTCACACTGACTTTGTGTTTTCCCGAAGACCACCTTTTAGGCCTTAAATGGTCCCCTATACCCCTTCTTCTTTGTTACCTCTCCCTTACCGTTCCCCTTTTCCTTCCCCCCAATATGACTCCATGACTTCGTGCAGCCTCTTCTGCAAATTATCCACCTCCTACAGTAATTGTCAGGCTCCATCCCAGATGGCGGTGCCATACTATTCAATCTACTACACACTCTCCCCATGGGCTCGTTAAATATCCTTACCCTGAATGTGCAGGGCCTTAATATACCACAGAAACGTAATAAGGCTTTCCGCACTTTTGCAACACTTAAAGCTCATGTGGTCTGTCTACAGGAAACACACTATACCCCCAACTCCACCCCTAAGTTTTTCGGCCCCCGTTATCCTCAGGTCTATACAGCCTCCGCCACCACCAAACACAGAGGGGTACTGATTGCCTTCCATCGCACTACACCTTTTACACTATGTACTGAAGTCAAAGACCCAGAGGGTCGCTATCTCCTGCTAGTAGGGCAACTCCTAGATGTAGACTTCACCATTGTTACATACTATGCCCCGAATTAAGATCCCTTACCATTCCTTTCCCACATACTTTCGGTTATAGATCACCACAAGCGAGGTACCTTATTTGTCAGCTGAGACTCTAACAGTACAATATATCCCTTTCTCGACAAATCCCCTCAACCTTCCCCCTTCCCCACCTCTAAGCAAACCTTCCAAGTCATACTACAACGTTATTCCTTGATAGATACCTGGTGGGAACTTAACCCGGCTAAACGCCAATACACTTTCTACTCTCACCCCCACAAGTCTTTCTCTAGGATAGATCATATTTTCATTACCGCCAGCTCTTCTCCCCGGCTCCTGACCTCTGAAATAATTCCAATTCCCTGGTCTGACCATTGCACCGTATTCACATCCATGGCCTTGTTAGCCCTAGCCCCCCAACTGAATCCTCCTGCATCATCAACAACCTACTTGCAAATCCAACGCACTGTTTAGAAATCAAAACCGCCCTCAAAGATTATTTATCTCTTAATCGCCTGAAATTTCTCCTCTCCTGTTATGGGAAGTGCATAACTGGTACTGGTACTGCGAGGGTTTTGCATTAGCACAGCGTCCTTTTTAAATAAAATGAAAAGACAACATCTTTCTCCAGAGCAGACATATGAGCATTCCCATCAAGCCTTCCAAGCGACTCCTACACCTGCCAACCATGAGGCCCTGGAACAATCCAGATTGGCTCTAGACCTCTTTCTCACAGACCAAGCGGAACTTTCACTTCGTAGATCCAGGCACAAATATTATACTAAGGCAAATAAACCCAATACTTTCTTTTACTCTCTCACTTCACAGGCTGGACTAGATTACTAGACCTATTCGAATACGCACCTGTTCTGGCAACCTCACTAGTAATCTGGAACACATCCTACGAACTTTCCATAAACATCTGTCACAGCTTTACTCTTCCTCAGCACCCTTCGACCCCACACAAGCGGATACCCTTTTAACCTCCATCTCCTTCCCGAACCTGTCAGAGCGCCACTAAGCGACGTTAGAGCAACCCATCTTCCCAACCGAAACCTTAAACGCTATTAAATGTCTAAAACCTCGTAAGCGCCCAGGACCAGACGGTTTCTCAGCCACTTACT